CTAAATTCAAAGGCGAGCACATGTCAATGCTCGACCAAAAAAGAATAGTGTAGAAAGGGGTTTGGGTCGAGCACAAAATCGAAACATACCTCGAGCACGGTCGAAACATACCCCGAGCCTCAAGAAGTCAACTAAGGTGGACTTTTCAACTGACAAGAGAAGCGACTTGCCTAGATCTCTCAAAGAACAAAATTATAAGCAAAATCAGGTGTAAAAAGCATTAATTGTCATTGTTTCTTCTTTTATTTTTAGCACCAAAAGTATGACTTTTAACTTCAGAAATCGAAGACAAGAGTCACTTATTTTTTCACCTGCGTAAAGTGCTAATATAAATTATCAGGACAAAACGAACAGCATTGGAAATTTTAAACGCGTTTTTCTCAAATTGGGTTGAGATTAAACAAAATGCAAAAAAACAAGGATTGCTTGAAACTTCACTAGAGTTAATATAATGGAACATTTTCCCCGAAGCTCTCAACAAAACATTTACACCCAAAAATGGGTCATTTTAGCTTTTTTAATTAATCAAGAAATAAGCTGAAACTAATTTGTTATTTGATTAGAAAGTTATACCTAAAGAAACTTCTTACACAGTTCAGCAAAGTTTGATGAGAGTTAAATCCTGAAAAACATGTATAAGAAAAAATAGTTTTGCTTGATAGTCAAGAAATGTAATTTTTACTAAATAAAACCCAAAATCTTACCTTGAAAACAATATTTAAACAGTTTGCAGAAACTTTTGGAGATTTAACACATCTAAAACTTTGTTGGGCTGTGTAAAAAGCTTCTTTTGAAATAATTTTCTCATCAATTAGCAAAAAATGTTTCAGTGTAATTCTTATTTAAGTAGAAAAAAGCCAAAATGGCCCATTTTTGGGGTAGAATTTTGGTTGAGAATTTTGGGTGAAATGATGCAATAAATTAATTCTGGTGAAATTCTAAGCAACTTCTGTTCTCTCCATTTTTTGTCCTATCTTAATCCAAAGTGAGAAAAACGCGTTTGAAATTTCAAATTTAATTCATTTTGACTGATTAATTTAAATCAGTACTGTATATTCTACCGACTTTTGAAAAAATGCGGAAAAAATTTTCTTGAGTTGTTTTTATTCCAGTTTTGTACTCCCTTGACACTAAAATGCTGACCCCATGAGTTCTATTGTAAGAAAAAATTCACCTTCGTTTACCTCTTAGAAAACTCAGGGAGTTTACAAACTGCCAATTTAGCCATGCTATTAACTATTTTATGCGATTTTTTCTATATTAAATATTACTGCTCGCATATCAATGCAAAACCCTGAATTTTCCGGCTGCCTTTTCATTGATATCGACTCGTTGCAAACAACGAGTCGATATCAATGAAAAGGCAGCCGGAAAGTTCAGGGTTTCGCATTGATATGCGAGCAGTAATATTTAAAATATAGACACGAATGTTCAAACTATTTTTTTCAGTATCTAATTTGGCAGCACAATTTTGAATATATTTTTTACCCTCGTACAAATGTTATAAAACAGACTAACATAGATTTTCAAAATTCTCAGTCGTTGTGTTTTATCTTATCCACGGTTGTTTCCTATTGCCATATCAGCTATAAATTTGCAGGAGCAACTAGTTCTTCAAACTTTTTAAGGCATGTTTTCATATAGTTGACTTATTTATTCGTCCAATCATAGAAAAAGGTTTGGGATGCGATTTTTGCCCAGACTCATTAGGTTCACTTGTCGTAAAATTGTCTGCTAGTAGAAAAAACCAGTTAATTGCAATAAACTGGTAAAAAGAGTTAGAACGACACAAGATTGCGTTTATATCAGGGCGCCGCACATGATATTCTTACCGCACAAATACGCCAACGTTTTTACTTTAAAAAAAGATAAAAAATTTAACGAAAAATGTTCGATATAATTTTTCCTAATTATATCCCACATGCTATGTGCTCTGTAAAGAACAAATGGATGTATTTAGCGTCTCGTATTCTCATGATAAAACCAAATGAATTGCCTCAACTTGACTTAATACGTTTAATCCGCCGCCTACCAGTGTTATCAAAACGCAATATTTTGCGCGCTATTTATACCAAACTGGCCAAGCCCTATAACCCTCAAAATCAAAACCTTGCAAAAACAATCACTACTGGAAAAAAATTTAAAAATGAGCTCAAGACGACAAAAAACTCTTCGTTAACGATAAAAAAACTGAACAAAAAACCACGCCAAGCATAAACATTCCTGGATTTCTACGAAAACCGGAACAAAAGTGGAACCTTCCCAATTGCTTATGACATTCAAAAAATTGCGATAGTTTTTGCTTTTTTCAGCTTCTCTAAATAGCCTTGTTTCACTTTCATGAATGTATCAAAACTGCTTCTAAAAAATTTTCAAAAAAAGACAAACGAAACCGAAATATAGTCTTGGATCGCGACTAGGATGTCATAAGGCTTTTTTGTCCTTACTCCATTTCAAACTATTCTTTTCGGTTCGGAATATTTTTGCATATATTCTAGGTAACTCTGTGAACGAAGATGAGGTCTACTGAAGAATGTTTTCTATCAGTACGAATTGTCGACAGGCGTACATGCATGAGAAAACAAATCAAAAAACCGACAGAACAATTTTGTCGTTTAAATTTCTGTAGTAATGAACAAACAAATTAGTTTCAAATTAAAATCATATTTATATAAGAGATCACTTACACTATTGGCGATTTCTAAACAAAAGTCATATCTGAGCACTTCACAGTCTTTTTTTTACTTCACAGTATCACAAAAAAAAAAACAGATACCAGAATTAAATAAGCTTTTAGTATTCATCAAGCGGTCACTAAGCCGAGAAAAATTGGGTACACGACCAAGAAAATACTCAAATTCGTAAGGAGTTTCAGCATAGATAACTACGGTACCTAAAAGCAAAAAAGCAAGAAAATTAAACAACGTTCCGGCTAAAATTTTTACAAAACATAGTAAAGCATAAAAAATTGCTTCTACGATGAGAAAAGCTAAAAGTACAATATAACTTCCCGATGTGCCGACAAAACTTAAGCAAACAAATAATTTTCAATTTCATACATACTGAACAAAACAAGGTCAGGCCAAGGAAACAAGGAACATATGCTATAGAGTACAAAGGCATGCGCGCTACCTCTAGGCCAAGTGGGAAAAGGTTTTGATGTGGCTAAGGTTTACTAATAAAACCACCACATTTTCTTACAATTATGTAAGAAAAATTGTTTGCAAAAAAAACTCTAGTTCCCGATTACAAGTGTTACAAGTCTCTCAAGTGTAAGCAAAGTTCAATTCTAAAATGTTACAATAACAGCACAGTTCCGCATAACAAGTTTGTAAGCAAACCAAAAAAATGACAAAAGTACGAGTAATTTTTCAGCTTTTGTTTCAGTAATCGCCTCCGAAACTTGAACTTATGCTGGCACAGCAAAAAGTGTGAAACCAAAAATTATTAAACACATTCTGAACTTACTTGATTTAAAATCATTATTGAAAAAATCCAAAAAGGCCAATCACTAAATGTGTAACAAAAATAATTAATGAAGCTGCTAAATCTTTCGTTCAAAACGTTTAAGTTGCAATCAGAACCTAAACCCTTCCAAAACAAATCAAAAAAATTTTGAATTTTTTTTTCTGTCTATGAATTGATCAAAATCATTAAATAAAAAGGATAGCCGGTTGCTGTGAAAGTAGCACAGAATGTTCTGACCACGTTCATAGAAACTACAAATAAAATTCTTCAAATTAGTGCCTTTTTTGCATGTGGTGTGATAGTAAAACTATACAAACGCATAAAAATTAGTAAATTCAGCATAACTGACAACAATTGACTTCAAAAAAAATAAAAAGCAACGCATGAAAAAAAGTTTAAAAAAACATTACGAGGCCAAACTGTGCACTGGATAGGCGCACAATTTTGTGTCTGTATGTTCCTGGATCCATATACAAGTCTTTATACATGTTAAAGTTTTGTCGGAATGATCAAAGAAACTGAAAAAACAAAAGAAGAACAAAGAGAGAGTCCTTGTTGCGGAATCCGCTTACTATGCACAAAATGCACAGTTTGGCCTCGTAATGAATTTTTTTCTATTTTTTTGAACAGTGTTTAATTTTTTAAATAAGTTTTCTGGCCAGGGAAGTGCCAAATATAGCTTTCAAAACAAGCTTCTGTTTGATAAAGTCAAACATTTTTAGACTAATTGACCAATTTAGGAAGTTATTATTACTTTTTTCCGTCGATATTAGACGAAAAACCACAAATTTTAAACCGGCTTTTCTCGACATAGTGATTTTTTTGGAAATTTTTTAATGTCGACTCGAATATTATTTATCACTCAACCCAGTTTGATGATTATTGGTGGTACCTGATTTTGAGTGAAAAAAAACTAAAACACACACGAATACAAAGTTTTCCCTATTTTCAATGGTCAGAAAAAAAATACATTTTCTGGCTCAGTAGTAGCTTATTTTTTTCTTTTAAAAAAACAATACGCGCTAAATTAACCGATCAAAACTTAATTCAACCAAATGAGCGTCATCTATTTAATTAATTCTCAAAATACTTCGTGAGATTATTTTGGTAAAAATAAAGTTATTTTGGTCGACTGAGCTAAAACACAGCTTATTTTTTGAATAGAACGTCAACCATAGCAACAAGGTATTTTGAAAACTGACATCAAATAAGGCTAAATTAGTGTATTCGTCTTTGCCTTCTTCTGACTAATGACCAAATTCGAGCTATTTTACTCTTGCTTTCAAGTTCTGTAATATACAATAAAACTTACCCAAAACGGTATCCGGAACTAGAATTTCTTGGTTGTAAGAAAAATCAGTCCCGATAAATAGAAGTAGCAAAATTTTGATGGAATCTGCCATTTTAGTTAAGCCGCAGAACGTGTACAAGTTGTGCAAATAGATTAGGCTCAAGTTATTGAAAAAAGGGTTGCTTGATAGAATTTGAGCTCATATTGATAGTTGATTGCTGAAATCAGGTGTGCGATTGTTAATTAGAGTCCTTGATCCGATGATTTTTAAGGTGATTAAAATCCCCAACCAAGCGGCACTTTATGCGCACGCGCACTAGAGCTCCTCAACGGAATGATTGATTTTTTCAGGCACAGGCTGCGAAAAGTTACGACAGCTTTGTACATATGGTAACGCAATCAAATGCCTCAATTTCCATTTCGACCAAATTGATTTTCCGAGTGCTCTCCATTATTCTTTCGGTGGTGGAGTAAGACAGTAAACATTTGACAAAAAGGGGTAATTTTTAGCGTTCTCTCACCCTCAATTTATCTAGCATTGACGCCGAAGGATCTTTCGAGAGTTTTAGCAATCAAACGATGGGGTCAAAATACTGAAAATGAAGGGCATTATCATATGCTAATCAGTTCTTATCACTGAGAAATATCCTCGATTGTTTCAATGGAGAAGCAGTTTAAGTGAGTAGTGCTTTTAAAATACCTCATTTCGATATTTCAAAGTTAATTCAGATAATCAAAATCATAATAAATTTAATTTGAAATAGGAAACATTTTGTTTAAAATTTATCCAGAAAGTTTTTTTTACTTTAAGGGTGAATCGACGTTTCTAGCCCCGACTCCCGACCACTTATAAAGTAGAAAGCAAAATTTAGGCGATTCACAAATGATGCTCACCCTTTAGGAGATAAAAAAAACTTAAGTTTTTTCCTTTGTTTCGAGTAGACGCTTTTTGAAAATTAATTTAAACGGTAAGTAGCTGACTACAGTTCTACAGAGTTTATCATGTTTGATAAGTTGCAGCTCATTATTGAGTTGTCATAGAGTTATTTGCTGTTGAAGTAAGTCCATATGTATGGTTCTTCTTTGGTCGGACAATACAGCTCCTCGCCCAGAACCCAATAAGTCTTTTTGGACCCAGTTTTCTGGAACATATTGTTCCAGAGCCCCTCCCCGGCATAGTTGTGACCCTTCTTGCTGAAATGGAAACAATCAGGTGCAAAGTAGGACAAATCAGGAGTTCCGTCCTCCAAAAAGGGAGGTGCGACGTCTTGCAGGAAGGGCTGGATGACGACAGTGAAGTCTTCTCTCGTGTCGTATCTCCTGGTCTGAATGAGTTCCCATATATTGTCTCTGTAGAGTCCGTTGTACTGTTGCATAGTTATTTTACTGTAAGCGTCATCAAGCATTGCGCAGTAGCAGAAGCACTCGTGAGCTTTACTACATACAAACTGGTCCTTACCAAGAGCACTTACAACGTTGATGTTGAAAATGGTCAACAAGTTCACAAAAGTTTTGGGCAAATTTTCCTGCAGAATATCCAGAGCAGCTTGAACGTCAGCTGTGTATGCATCCGGAGTGCTTCGACTGTCGGTACAAATCTGACACAAGTTGTTTCCACCAATGAACACAGTGACCAGTTTCCAGTCATTGTCGTAATCATATTCTGGATCGTCCTGCAAGTCTTTGATTAAATTTTTGGCTTGCTGTGTCAAATTAATAGCTTTGGAGCCAGCCACGGCTTCGTCCAGAGCGGCATTTTCTTCACCCGGACCTGCGATTCCAGAAGCCCATCCTTTGATTGAGGGGTTGTAGAACTTGAGCGCATTGGGGAGCGAAAAATGCTGTTTAACATTGTCGTTGTTGTTGGAGTTGAAAGGAGATTCGTCGTAGTACCCCCCGCTGCTGAACGAGAGCCCTCGGTAGTTGTTCACCACTCCATAAATGGTCGTAGCACCGGCGCCATTAGCCGCAGTCAGAGAATCGCCAAGCGCCGCCACAATTTTTACGTCACCGGGTCTCAGTGCATGGGCGGAAGTTGGGATTGTTTCTGATGGCTCGATATACTCACAAGTGAAGTCATTTGTGTACGACTGCTTTTGCTGCTCTGTCAACTCCGGAGGCTGAAGATGAGCGGGATTTACGTGCACAAGCGATGAGAAAAAATTGTTGCTGGGGTCTATGCAACTAATGGCATGAGTCACTTCAAATCTCACCAGAAGGGGAGAAAAGCAAAAGCCCAGGATGAGAAACTTCATTGTTGACATCTCGGTTACTGAGTTGTATTTAAATTGGCTACTAAAATGAACGATGCTCCCCAATATTTGCTCATTGGGCCAAATTAAGAAGTTTTGATATTTGAAGAATTTCCAACCACTTGATCGAAAGTATGAAAAACATTTTTCCACAAAAGGGCAGTCGTCGAGCAAAATCTTGGCACTCCTTTAACATTATTCTTTACAATTTACATCTGTTTGCTTGTTTGTCCACAATTCCAATGCCATCGATTATTTGAATAGAATTGCCGTAGTGCTAAAATTTTCAGTGTTTACATTTGGATAATATGCCGTCAAAACTATTTTGGAAGTTCAGACTAAGACAACTAAGGACGTTTGAGACAGAAATGAGTTTGAAGGGTGTCAGATGATAGCCTCAATCGGATGATCTTTGAAGCCTCTTCCTAAATTAGCTAAGCAACCTCCACAAATCTAGTCTAATATTTTATCAGCGCCAAGGAAAATATTTGGGAATCGAGCAGTTAAGCGGCTGATGTTTATTGCCGGCAAGGGGTGGTTAATTTTTCTCAAACTAATATTGGAATAATCGAGCTATAGCACTAAGCTGACACTCCCCACACAAGGTTAAATCGCAATCCGGAACTCCCTGAAGGTCCCAAAATGTGTAGATCTGCTGGTCAAAGAATGGGCAAAGATGCTAATCCCAGAAAATTGCTAATCTAAAAAAAAACATGTCAATCCATTAAATAACACTAAAAAAAATTTGTGATCAACGCGAGGCAAAGTAGGTTTAAAACGTCCAAATAGAATAGACAAAAGATTGAGTGTTTTCTATTGGTATATTTCATATCACGAACAAACTCCGGTCGAAAACTTTCTTTTGATGATCGAGCAGATAATTCATCAAAACCAAAACACCAAAACATGTAGTTATCCCTAAAAATTATCCATTTTCATATTACCAACAAATTAAAACTTTTTGGGGTTTAATTAGCAGTTGTGCTAGAAAATTGAAAACTATGGGTCTAAATAATAAAAAACTGATATTTTAGTCTTTTTGTCCACCATAGTGAAACGGTTATGTATCCGCCTCTTACTTCTTGCTTGAGTGTGAGCCAACATTACCTAGTCCAGAAAGAAGCAATTTTTGAGCGGAAGAGCGTAAGCGGTTCTCCTTGAAGAGCTGAACAGCTCGTACTTTGTTCTGGATAAATTGTCTTAACTTAATATAATTATTTTCTGTTACCATTTTCTATTTCCAGTATGGTTTGTACACTGAGAACTTTTTTCAACACAGAGGCGAAGCGGAACTTCTCGGCATTTGCGATAAAATACAATCATAAAAAAGCATGAGCCGAAAAAAAAAATTAAGTGATGAAAAAAACTAGGTGAACCAAAAGTTTCGTATGTCTCGATGAGCTCAGAATTGATTGTATTAGGGCTCAGCTAAGGGCTCACCCTAGGGCTCAGCTAAGGCTGGAGAAAGTATTTGATATCTTTTGAATCTGTTATACTGATGCGGGACGAAATGCGTATATTCAAAAATTAGACTTTGCCCAAAACCTTAGTTGTTTTTCAGATTTTAGAATTTTCCAAAAGACCTAGCCTTCTTCTCACAAACAATTAAGGAGTAGCCATTTCTGCGGGAGAAATTCGCACAACCGCTTCTTTTGATTGAAATTTTTATTTCAGTTTTGATAGGGTAGCTTTTTAAAAAAATTCAAAAAGTTTCTATAAAATAGTCAAAATTCAAAAATCAGTAACTCAGTGGCCGGTATAGTAGGGAAAATTCCCAAAATTATCTTTTTCGATTGAACACTTTACCTGAGAAATGGCAAGTAATTTTCAAGTCAGGTAGAAAAAATTTCCAAAAAACGGTCCAATTTTCAAAACTTTTACTTGTTTAAAGACCCTAACTTTCTTCTAGAAGAAACTGGGCGTAGCAAATTATAAAGATAAGCTTCCAACAAACTGTTCAGTTGATTAGACTTATGATATCAGTTTTTGACAGGATATTTATCGAAAAAAGACCAAAAAACGGTCAACAAGTCAAAGAATTGACGTTTCAGAGGCTCATTGCTTCTTCTTTTAAACAAGTTGGGCGTAGCCGTTTAGGTAGAAGAAATTCACCCAATCTGTTATTTCGATTGAACGCAAAAACCTAGGTTTGGCCGGGTAGTTCTCGAGAAAAGTCGAAAAGTTTCAAAAACTGTCCAAAAATCAAAATTTTGACTTTTCCGAGGGCCCTAATTTTTTGTACAAAAAGTTTGGGCGTAATCGCACATACAAAAAAAAACTGAGTGAACCAAAATTTTTATGTGCCTCAATAAGAGACAACTCGAGTCTCAGCTAAAATCGGTGGTACGTGTTTGATATTTTTTGATTTTGATTTACTGATGCGGGACGAAATGCATAATTTCAAAAGTTGGACTTCGCACAAAGACTTAGTTGTTTCTCTGATAAAATAGGTGAGAAGAATGAAAATTTTGCTGAGATAATGGATTGTTTTCAAAGACATGACATTTTGCCAACAAAAAACTAAAGAGTCGTCAATTCAACCTGAAAAAATTTTGAAATTGGTTCTTTCGATTGAAATTTTGGTCACAGATTTGATAAGTTGGTCACAGATTTGATAAGTTAAGAAAATTGAAAAAGATTTTAAAAACAAAACAAAAAAAACGAAAATTTTCGGATATTCATAAACTTTTGCTGCCAAAAGCAAGTAGTTTTCGCTTCAGTAGAGACGATTCCAAAATTTTGGTTTCTCGATCGGACACATAACTTGAGATTCGGCATGGTAGTTTTCGAGTGAAGTCAGAAAATTTCCATAAACCGGTCTAAGTTTCAAGGCATTTATCAATAAGAGAATTGATTTTTCGGAAGGCGATTGCTCTTTGTAAAAAGTTGCTAACTCAAGGGAGTTCCTTGCTACCCAATATTTTTTAGGCCAGTATTATTAGATTAGGGAGGTCAGATTTCGAAAAAAAAATTTGGAGGTCAGATTTCGAAAAACAAATCCAGAATTTCGAAAAACGGTTAAAAACATCAAAATTTTGCCTATCGCGGGGGCCATGACTTTATGTGTAAAAAAATTTGGATGTAGTTGCTCCTGCAGAGATGCTTTTTAAAAGTCATTTTTCACTGACAATAATATCTCAGATTCAGAAACGTAGGTTTTGAAACGACAAAAAAATTTTAAAATGTGGGTCAAAAATTGCCCCAACAAATGTCTATGAAGGCTGTAGATCGAGGAGTAAAATAAAAAGACCAGAGTATGCAGACACACAGAGGGATGGACAGTTTTTCACTGATAACTCTCTTTATTGAAAAACGGTAGAATTATTTCTGCGAAAAATTAAGATATTTGCGAAAGTAGAAAGAACTTTCCAAAGTGTCAAAAAATATTCCAAAAAAGAATATTCCGAAGATGAATATAACAAAAAAAACAACCCAACTTATTTAATATTCAAGTTTTTATCAAATAGGACTTCTACGCAAGCAAGAAAAAAGTTTGAATTTGAAATTAGCAATACACAAAATTCCGAAGCGTAAACAAAGCCGACAAACTTTCAGATGGCATTGGTTGATCAGAAAAAAAACTGACTTCATAATAAGCTTTACAAACATTCCCAACCCCCTCAAACTATAATACACTCCACCTGAAACCACCATGATACTTATTTATAGCACAAAATGGTGATAAGGCAATTAAGCCGACAAAACTTGAGTAGTTAAACGAAAGACTGTCAAATCAAATTTTTCGGAATAGTTTTCCAATTCTATACAAACTGGAAAACACTAGGGGCTTAGTTAAAAGTGGAATTACTTGTTTAAAATTTGAACTTTTGCGATGATGCGGGATGAAATAGATAACTTTAAAAATTGAACTCCAACTAAAACGTTAATTGTTTATCTAACGAAATATTAATGAAAATTTTTGAGAAGTTGAAAATTTAGAAAAAAAAACAGTTTTCCTGCAAATTTTAACGCGTAGCCGCTTATGCGCAGAGACTTCACACATTCCGTCGTCTCGATTACACAATTGATAACAGATTCGGCGAAGTAGTTTTCGAGAAGTGTCAAAGAGTTTCAAAAAACGAACTAGAAATTAAAACATTGACTTTTCTGAGGGCCATAGTTTTTTTGAAGGCCAAAAAATTTGGACTTCGCTGTTCACTCTGGGCAGCTTCTCTCAGCACTTTCTCTTTATTGAAACCAAAATCTCAGATTTAGAAGGATAGCTTAGGAGAAAATTCAAAAAGTTGCAAAATCGGTCAAATAATCTAGCATTTGATTTTTTCGAGGACCCTAACTTTTTAATGGAAAAAAATTGAACGTATCGGCTAAAGCAAGAGAGTTTCAAACAACCTGTTTTTTCGATTGAACGTAAAACTTCTGTCTTGGGAGGGTGATTTTGATCAAATTTGATTTTTCCAAAAATGACTTTTCCAAGTACGACAATTTTATAAAGAACAATAGGACGTTGCCATTCATTCTGGGGAGCTTCTCATAAGCCTTTCTTTTGATTGAACCCAAAATTTCAGACTCGGAAGGGCAATTTTCGAGAAAATTCAATAAGTTTAAAAAACAGTCAATTAATTTAACATTTCAATTTTGCGAAGACTCTAACTTTTTGAGGAACCAAATTGAACGTAGCCGCTAATGCATGGGAGCTTAGCACAAGCTGAGGTTTCGATTGAGGGAGGGTGGTTTCAGAGAAATTATCCGAGGGCCATAACTTTTTGTGGAAAAAACTTTAAGCGCACGTGCTGATACAGGGGAGAGTCCCATTGAACCCAAGTTTTTGAAGGCTGTAAAAGTGGTTCCAGAGTCATTTTTGAAGGCTGTAAAATGTGTGTTAAGGTGTTACATAAACCAGTGTATTGTGCAGGCGACACACAAGGAAGTGAGCTGACTTTTCATAGGTACCACTTAATTGAAATTTTTCAGACTAGTTTCTAAGAAAAACTGAAGTTTTCGAAAAAAGCGAAAATTTTTTTCAAAGCGTCTCAAAAAAACGATCACAATAATTTTTTATATAACCTGTTTTATCAAACAAAAACAAGGAACAAGATCCCGCCGATGTCGAACCGCAGATTATAGGTTGTCAAGGCGACGGCGTTACCTCTCGACTTCTAGATCAAGCGCAAAATCCGAAAAACTATTTAGATTCAGTAATAAAGCAAGTGGCAAGATTTTAAGAATCATTGTCACGGGAAACACTTCAAGTTTTCGATTACAAGACA